CAGGGGTCCAATGTTGCCCCTGCTTTTCCTCCGGCTCCCCACATATCTGAAAAAGGACTTTTTATTGTCCTTGATGCTCAAAGCTAGTTGGAGTTCAGTTGCAGCCTTGGCTTTCCTGGTATGCTCCCTACAGGACCGGACCAGTGCAGAATAATCCTCCTTGGAGGTGATTCCCATCCTCCATCCTTTGTAGGCCTTTCTTTTTAGCCTCAGGTGGTCTGCTAGGTCCCTGGAGAGCCAGGGGGGTTGCTGTGCCCTCTTGCTGCCTTTCCTCCGAGATGGAATAGACTTAGTTTGTGCACTGAGGATCGCTCCCTTGAGGAGCAACCACTCTTCTTGAACCCCGCCTCTCCCTGTGGTCATGGTCCCTTAGGGCCTCACTGACAAGCCTCCTGAGCTTGTCAAAGTCGGCTTTCCTGAAGTCAAGGACTTCCGTGTTGCTGACTGACTTGCCAGCTTTTCGGCGGATGGTGAAGGTGATCAGCTCATGGTCGCTGTCACCCAGCTTCTCATCAATCACTAGGTTGCCGACTAGGTCATCCCCTGTAGCCAGTACCAGGTCGAGCAGCGCTTTGCCTCTCGTTGGCCCATAGACTTCTTGAGTCAGGTAGAGGTCATCCGCGCACAAGAGGAAGCTTTGCGACCGCTCAGATTTTGCTGAGCGATCCTCCCATGAGATGTCTGGGTAATTGAAGTCACCCATGACAACCATGGTCCTGGAGCATGCTGCCTCAGCCAGTTCTCTCAAAGGAATTCAGCCATTGACAAGCTATGCCATGGGAGAGCATGGGGATTCAAGGAACTGGCCTGTGACATATATTGTGACATAAATGAAAGTGCCCATGCTGATCATATGGGTGGATCTCATAGAACAACAGATCAGTGCTGTCTCAGCCATGTTGCTGCTACCAGTACCATTGTGGTTCATTTGGTCTTACTTTGGAAATTACAACAAATGGACAAAAATCTATGCAAGTTCCCTTGACCACAGAAAAGGAATTTGTCTAGCATAGAACTTGGACTTGTTCTCAAGCAAAGCCTCTAACATGCATCACTTGGAGTGGTGGAACAGGAGTTAACCATGGGTGTTCCCATCTGTGAAATATGCCAAGTTAATCTTTCAGCGTCCACTTGTGGTCAAAATGTAGCTGTAGGAAAGTAGTTTTTGTGTCCTGAAGTTCTGAAATGACTGCTGGCCATCACCATTCTGTATTACTATCTTGTTCAGTCAGTGCTCGCTGACTGAGCCCAGAGGCAGCATTTCAAATGAAGCTGTTCCAGATATATGCCCCACAGAAATAACTGCTCAGTTTCACACTGCATTCCGGCTCTATCTAGTCATATTGCTGCAGCATCCAAAATCTCTATATCAAGTTATTTCGGTTGGGCATATGCTAATCCACACGCATCATTCTGTTTGAATTAACACCTATCAAAACCATGGCAATTAGGTCTGGGTCCTCCATGCTTCATGACAAATGGCACTGGCAAAACACAGATGAATTATGGGACGCCACAAAAAGTAACACATTTTTAGTTTGACCCTTAATTCCCAAAATATCTGTAGGCTCCAGTAGGCATCCAACAATGGATCATGAGAAAAATCCCATACAAAGAAAGAAACAGCAAAATATTGCACATCAGACAGCAGCTGCCCCCCACCACACCCCAAAAGTCACAGGATTTCAAACAAATAGAGCCGTGTGGGCCCAATAATTAATAAGAAAATATCTTAAGCTGTAACAGCAAAGAAGCATGGATGTACTTTAATTTGATAGTTAATTCACTGCAGTCTGAACTAAGTAACTAATCCAATATGACCCCCATACAGACAATATGTGAAAGGAAGTGATCTTTGAACATTGCCACCATTACTCAATTGAGTAGGCCAATGGAGCACTGGTCAAAACTGAAAGGCTGTTTACTAGTATTTTCACTGCTTGGTGTGACAGAAAAGGCTGGTGATGTTTTTTTTTTTTTTTTCCTGCAGCCACATACACAGCATGCAACATAAAATAATTACTTTAAAAAAAAAAAAAAAGTTATACAGCAACTTCAGCTAAAACCCCACTCTCCTTTTTCCATTTGTTTAAAACTAAAGAAAAAAGCTGCAGTGTCATCAATCTCTCACACTGACAGCTTAAACAGTGTATTTCCAGTTTTAGAAGTTATTTTTATTATGGTGGCTCAAAAAAACAATTGGCAAATATATTCCCTCCTGCTGATTGGCACAGACATGAACAAAACAGAAGTGTTATAAAAAAAAACAAGATGACAGACAATGCAGAGAATACTGGCAGTTCTATAGCAAATTTCTCCCCATCATCTGCTCATTTTTTTAATTGAAAAGCATACTGTAGCAGGCTGTTCTACACAACTGACCAAGGAAAATGGCAGTCATATCTTACTTAAAACCCCCCCAAAAACCTATCATCAATACAAATGTCTAATTTTGTTTTAATACACAAAAAATAAGCAAACAACACAGCCTTTTAGCAAGTTTCAAAACCATTTTTCAATACATTAGATACCCTCTATGGCCTTCTGAGGAACTGAAGACCTGCTGGCTATGGCTGCTGAGTTAGTTATAAGCTAATAATTTCCTCATAAGTTTGCTCTTGGGTCGTAAACAGTTTTCCTGCTAATATTAAGACACAGAATAAAGAAAAAATATTTGGGTAGAACAGCTTTCCTTTGTTAAGATAAATTTTTTTCTGGTTAACCTCTGGAATAAAGTTTTTATCCAAGGGAGGCCTCTACATAATTTCTATGTTCATAAGAGTAATCAGATATAGTTAACGATGCTATCAACCCTGCCCACAAATGTTTCTCTTTACTTGTATACATTATACACTATTAACTTAACATGATTTTTCCAAGAGTAATTTTGCATTTTTCTTAGTTATGACGTTGTATGTTAAATACTTAAGTATTCTAAATAAATACCTTCCTATGTAATATTTAAATAAATCTGTAACTATTACATACAGTAAGGTGTATACTTACAGTTCAGCATATATGCTTTTTACATGCAAGAGCCAAAAAGGAACCACTCCCTTACTTTCACAGAAGATGGTGAAAATATATTATCTCACTTTTACCATATTAAGACATAAAATAAAGTAAGCAGATCGTAAAAGCTGTAGGATAGCCAGAAACTCATGGCAGAACTCTTACACAACAAACATGTTTCTTCTGCCTTAGTACAAAACTGCCATAATGTAAAGCTTCCAAAAAAATAATAATGGGATCAGAACATCTAGAAAAAAATTGTCATCTACAAAGAGTTTGAACTTCTGTAAGTTGTGCAATGGGGGTCTGTAGTTTAGTCATCCCCTTCTACAGATGCTCCAGATTGCTAATCACATGTCTCTACTCCACTTTGGCAAGAGTAAAGAAATAGTAAATGCAAGAAGAGTTCAGCAACCAGGATCAAACACAGCTGCAGATGTAAAGGACACAGAGAGAGAGAGAGAAATAAAATAGCACAGCATTCTAATTGTGGTCATATTTGTTTTTTAAAAAAAAAATCTAATTAATTAAAGTCTTGTTCATTTTTTAATGTTTTTAGTTCAGTACTCCCCCCCTCATATTAGTTTCATTAAGTCACTCAACCTCTGTGCTTCAATTTCCATAAAGAACATGGAAATAATATAATGGATGTAATAGTTCCACATATTACAGATATTAGGAAGCTTAAGATACACTAGTGTTCTCAACCTTTTTAGACTCAAGGCACTGTCCCCTGGACAGACTCGAGGCACCCCTCAGAAAATGTCTTAGTTTTCGCTATTTTTCTGCCTATAGGAAAAAAAAAAAAAAGAATAGAAGTTTTTCTGTTGTAGAGAACTCAGAAAGACCACAACTATGGTTTTATATTTGAAATCTCTGGGTCTTGTGAATCTGGCTTTTAAACCTAACAGTGCTAAACTAACATTGTGCGAAACCCTAAGGCACCCTTGAAACAATCAAGGTACCCTGGTTCAGTATCACAAGGTTAAGAGTTGTATTTCTATCAAAAAATGCCAATACAAGCTATTATGATACAACTGTTACACAGTATCTGCATGATACTGTAACTGCTCCATCCCTTACCCATTTTGGATCAAAGTTAGCACAATTTGGCTAACTAGTGACATTACAGGATAATAGAGGTAATAGTTAAATTGTAAAAGATGCTGCAAGCTAAAGTGTATGTTTGTCCATACCTTTAGTCACTGCAAAATGCTTGAGGACCTACAGATGGCAAGAACTACTGAAATGCTAAAGTACCACCAATACATATTAATTCTCACTTTATGCAAAATAAAACGAAGGTTCCTGCATTCTACTATTATATAAATAACTAATATTTTAGGTTTCATCTTACTCACAGCTTAACACTTTTTTGGATCATTACAACATTCCTGCAACATACTTTAGCCAAAATTAATTGTGTAATTAAAATTAACACAGTTCTACCAAAGTTCGGTCTAGGACTACATACATTCACATTATAGATTATAGATTACAGAAAAAAAAAGCAATTACCTGCATTCGAATCAGGAAAAGATAAATAACAAATATTGGTTTTCTGGGGAGGGAAAAAAAACAACAGGTAAAAAAGGTTTGTTTGTTTGGGTTTTTTTAAATCAAAAGGCATAATGGAAACAGTTTCTACTCACTTCTTTATCCGTAAGTTTTGAGTTTTGTGGATATGTCACCTATAAACAAAAACAAAAATTATCTCTACTTGAAAACAGGATGAACAATTTAAAAACACCAAGTGATTAACTACTCAACTACCTTTTGTGATGCAGCATTCACTGATTTACTTGTGTTATTGTTCCCAATACAAGACAGCAACTATCTTTTAGAAGGCTACTCTTTCCCAACTGCTTGGATAGAACTTGCAGGCTCACATCCTGGACTATGAACAAAATCAATCAGTGCTCTTCCCTATTCAAATAACTTTAATTGTCATAACTAGTCTTGAGGGTAGTGTAGCTGTGCTGACCCAAGAAATACAAGGCAAGAATTTTTGTGAATATCTTTTACTAATCAAACTACATGGTAGGGATGAATTTAGAGGAGCTTTTGAAAGTGATGCATTTTCCTCAGGTCTGAGGTAAAAACAAGTGCAGTGAAAAATAAAACAATTTGCAGGGCTGTAAAACTGGAAAGAGAAATTCCAAAGGGTAGCAGAGGCCTAAATCACAGAAAAAGGATATTAGTGAAAGATCAAGACTTTTCAAAAAGGAAGAAGGTCATTATTACCTGTAACTTGAAGAAACATTATCTAGAGTCAGGTAGACTGTAGTATGCAATTAAGTCAATATCAATGTTCAATCCTTGGTTGTTAGTGTATAGCCACATCGGAGCTAGCTGATAATGTGGCCAATAAATGCCTGTGTATGCACACAGCTGCAACACAGCACACGGGCAGTAAGGAGCACAGCCAGACAGCTTGGAGAGCTGCATGCAGCTGGTAAGTCTGTCCTGGTAGAAGGGGAAGGGGGACAGAAAGGGCATGGTGGGGTGCAGATCAACACCCCCTGTGGTAAAGAAGGGAGTGGGGCAAGCACTGCCTAGCTGGGGCAGGGCAGGGCACGAGACAGAGCCACAGTTCATCTGGGGGGCGGCTCCCACTGCTGCATATACCCGGGGAGGGCACCAGGGGCAGGGGTGAAAGTGTGGTGTGCCCCTGAATGTGCATAGTGGGTACTGCAGCAGCGAGCTGTATCGGGTTTTTCCAGCAGGAGGCTGGGCCAGGCTGTGCTCAGGGCCAGCAGCAGAGGCACTGGGAGGAGGGCTAGGGGGGCAGGGGGGCTGCAGCCTCCTCAAATTTTGCTATAACCCCACTGTAGCCCCACCTCCCAACGCCACTGCCGCCTGCCCCAAACACAGCCCTGACCCAACTCCCTCCCCACTAAGTGCCAGGAAGATCCCAGCACAGCCCTGGCCCCAGCCTGCAGCTGCAGCCCCTGCCCCCACATGCAGATCCAGGGGAGCACCCCACCTCCAGTGCCCTCTCAGGGTGCACGCAGTGGTGGGAGCTGCCCCCTGCCCAGACAAGCCATGGCTCTGTCCTGTGCCCTGCCCCGCCCTGGCTGGGCAGTGCCCGTCCCATCCCCTACCCCACTCCCTTACTCACCACAGGGGGGCATTGATCTGCCCCTCCCCTTCCACCATAACAGACTTACCAGCTGGACATAGCTGTATCAGTATGTTTGTAGCCACCAAGGAGGAATATCTGTATCAGTTGACACGCCTTCTTAAAAACTGGCTATTGGTATCAGCCCCCCCAAATTCTATCAGTGTACCCCTAAAATTCCGTATTCTAATCTTGCAAAAAAGAGCCACAGAAATGTAGACCTCACTGCTGAAAAATACAAGACTTAAGACTGCACAGCAGGGTTGTCAAAGGGTGGTGTGCGAAGGTCCTCGCTGCCTCCCCCCCACGCAGCCCTGCATGCACGTACCTGCCGGATACAGGGCACATGGGGGGACACTGGCCCAAGTGGGTGCCACGTGACGTAGGACCCAGCACTGTGTAAGGGGCTGGTCCTGTGCAGCATGTGGGTCAATGGGCAGCACCCAGGGCCAAATTATGAAGCTCCATGGGCTGGACTCAGCCTGTGGGCAACATGTTTGACACCGCTGCTTTAAACCTACAGTGGATATCTGTGTAATAGAAACTCTGATGTACTAAGTCACCAGCACCACTTCCCCTAGAAGTACTTGCCTTGATTTTTCTCAATCACTATTGCCTTCTACTGAGCACAAAAGTATTTTTACATCTTAAGCCAGTTGTTCCCAACCTTTTTGGCTGCAACCTGCTGCTGGGAGAAGAGTACAGCAGTGGCAGTGGCTGGGAGGAGCTCCCGGCACCGCTCGTCTTTTGTGTGCAGCGCCGCCGGCATTGCCCAAGCGACCCTCTTTGGGTTGCAACCCGAGGCCGGAAACCACTGTCTTAAACCAAGACTGAAGCAGCATCACGGCATGCTTGACTATCCTGCCTTAATGCCTTCTTAACCAGCTCAGCTCCTACAAGAAGAGCGACAGGTCGGTCAGGCATCTCACCGGGTTGCTGGATGGGAAGAAACGAAATAATCCCACCGGCTAATCGGAAGTGCCAGAACAGCTGCACACCTCCCTCGGCGCAACCCTATGTTCAGATACCCGCCTAGGTGACAGCTTACGGACCGGGCACAGGCAGGGCCCCCGCTCACCTCCACGGCCTGGCCCAGCTCCAGGTCGAAGCCCACCACGCACACGCAGTGCAGCC